ATTAAAGCCTAACTCCAGGAATATAAATATACACCCTTGCTGTGTGTGTGGGGTCAGTGTGTTAAATGTTTTGGGGGGTAGAGTGCTGACGGATGGATTACTTACCCTCCCTGCTCCTGCACTCCCCTATGGTGCCTAAAGCTCCAGCCTGTGGGAGGAGCCTCAGTATCATCAGAAGCAATACATGGATGTTAACCCTGTGTGGTACACTGAGGAGGCTGGAGTGCCACTGTGGCTGGTCTCACCTTACAGAGAAGCTGCGGGGGCCACTTGTGGGAGCCTTACAAGGGGGCCTGCTGTAGTCCTGGAGGGATCCCGCAGCGGACCGGTTGTAGTTCTGGAGGGAACCCATGGGGGGGTGGTCGCAGCCCTGAAGGGACCCTGCAGGTGGCCAAGTTAGAGTCCTAGAGGGACCTTGCAGGTACCCAGTCCTGGCCCTGGAGGAGCCCTGCACGCGACCAGTCCTGGCCCCGGAGGAGCCCTGCACGCGACCAGTCCTGGCCCTGGAGGAGCCCTGCACGCGACCAGTCCTGGCCCTGGAGGAGCCCTGCACGCGACCAGTCCTGGCCCTGTAGGTGCCCTGCACGCGACCAGTCTAACCACTAGAAGGACCCTGCAGGGGACCAGTTCTGGAAGTAGAAGGACCAGCCCTAGCTGTGGAGGAACTCTGCAGGAGTCGGTCCTAGCCCTGGAGGGACCCAGCAGGCAACAAGACTAACCACTAGAAGGACCCTGCAGGGGACCAGTTCTGGAAGTAGAAGGACCAGCCCTAGCTGTGGAGGAACTCTGCAGGGGTCGGTCCTAGCCCTGGAGGGACCCAGCAGGGAACAAGACTAACCACTAGAAGGACCCTGCAGGGGACCAGTTCTGGAAGTAGAAGGACCAGCCCTAGCTGTGGAGGAACTCTGCAGGGGTCGGTCCTAGCCCTGGAGGGACCCAGCAGGCAACAAGACTAACCACTAGAAGGACCCTGCAGGGGACCAGTTCTGGAAGTAGAAGGACCAGCCCTAGCTCTGGAGGAACTCTGCAGGGGTCGGTCCTAGCCCTGGAGGGACCCAGCAGGCAACAAGACTAACCACTAGAAGGACCCTGCAGGGGACCAGTACTGGAAGTAGAAGGCCCAGCCCTAGCTGTGGAGGAACTCTGCAGGGGTCGGTCGTAGCCCTGAAGGGAGGAGTTTGGTTCTACACCTTATCCCCGCCCCCTGGACATAATGGGCATTTAACCCTTTCCCTGTAGGAGGATTTCTGATATTCTTGGAGCTGGACTATAAACTTCATCAAGCTGACATAGTGACCCAACTGCAGCGCAGGACTGGGAGTAGTAAAGTGTAGAAGTTGAGGATGCCGCGCAGGCTGTACACCGGACAAAGTTACCACAGAACAGGAAGAGTGCCATTTATTGTTTATAAAAGTGACAGTGAGCAGCCACTATGAGAGCCCCGGTACCTGTCCAGCGGGGAGCCCGGCAGTCGCCTCGGTTCTCAGTGAAGTGTCCCCAGGCTGCGGTCCTCCCGCCTCCATCACTCTCTTCCTCAGATTATCCGGTGCCCCCGCTCCGCACTTGGGAACTCCATGCAGGTATCACCCAACACAGCCAGGGGGTGGGGTCAGATGACGTCAGAGCAGGAGGAAGAAGATACAATGCAGCAGCGTGTACAGGCAGAGACGCCCACTTCGCTGGCCTCTGAGCGGAATCACCGCCTCAAGTCCTGTGGGAGGGGCATGAGATGGGAGGAGATAGAGGGGACCTACTGTGGGATTTGTGGTAGCCCTCACTGCCCATGTGTGAGGATACAGCAGCTCCCTCTGTCGGCGATCTGGCCGCACGCCGCTTATGAATAGCTTTCCGTAACTTTCTGCAAGGAGGAAAAGTTGTGCCGCTGTAGTTTCCTGACTATACTACTACTACAATCCCCACAATGCATCGCGGGGGCGGAGCATCATCCAATCACTGCCTCCACTTGGAGGCGGGGCCGCGGCATGTTGGGGGCGGTGTCAGGGCAGGGTGGGGGCGGTGTCAGGGCAGGGTGGGGTCAGGGAGGACTCTGTGAACGTGTTAGAAGAGTGAAGGAGTGGGGTGTTGTTTATATACTAAGGGAGTGCGAGGATGACCATTGTGCTAGACAGCGGGCACCAAAATGTGTCCTATGACGTTACCAGGGGGCCACACATAATGTCTAGTAAATGTGATAGAGAAGGCTGTCGGAATTGTCATAGACTGTTAAAGTCTATGACAATGTCAGGGCTGAGGGGTGTGCTTAACCACTTCAGTGCCAGAAGATTCAAGCCCCTTGGTGACCAGGCAGTTTTTTGCTATTTAGCACTGCGCTACTTTAAAGCTGAACTTCATCCAACAGGGGAAGTTCCCTTTTTTTTTTTTTTTTTTTTTTTTTTTTTGCATCCTTCCCACTCCTCTTTAAGAACTGCCACTTTTTTTGAGGGGGAGGGGGCAGAATTAGGTGCTTGGTTTTGATAGGTACCCGCTCCCACCTCTGGTCTGATTGCCACGTCAATCCGAGAGGAAGTTCGGCCCCCACATGCAACCTCCTGCGACATGTCACAGGTCCCAGAAGGCTGCATGACCATGTCACATGACCGATTAAGGGGCCCTGTGAGGCTCCAAAGTGTTGCTCTTGCTGTAACAATGTGGTCGCTGAATAAAGCTTTGGACCCATGTTGGAGATCCATGGTGTGGGGGTGCCATTCTTCTCTGACCATTCACAAAGTACAGCACGGCTTGCACATGCAGAGTGGCTGCAAGGCTTCACTGCCAGTTTCCCTTAACTAAAAGGCCAGCTCCTGGACCCAAAGCCAATTGAAGAATCAGCTTGGGTGAGGATGGAGCTGGATCCCTGGGTAAGTGTCCTGATATTAAAAGTCAGCAGCTACAGTATTTGTAGCCAGGGGCATATTTACCACGAGGCAAACAAGGCATTTGCCTAGGGTGGCATTTTTCAGAGGGCAGTGCTGCCCTTGGAAGGGATGGAAGAAGGGACACATGCAGCATAGGGACCAGGTGGGATCTGAGAGAGGTTGTGGGATGCTTGATGGTGTGTGCAGAGCCTGACTCTTGTTCTCAGGGATGTCCGGAACTGTGAAGGCGAATGTGTTCTCTCTCTCGCCGGAATGGGGGGGTGGTCAGTGTATGGGGGAGGTGGTAGTGGAAGGCTCAGGTAAGGGGGGGCTGGGCTGTTGTTGGTCAATGTTAGGCTCTTTTCGTGGGGGGAGGGGGGGTGTTTGGTCGGTGTCAGGATCTCTCCATGGGGGGGGGCTATTTTTATGTTACCTAGGGCAGCATAAAACCTACATACATCACTGTTTGTACCTGCTGATTTTTAATTGTTTGGGGGGGGGACTGGAAAACCGCTTTAACTGGTAATTGTGTCGTCATACAACACTGTACCAAAACTAAATTTATATAATTTTATAATACATTTCAGCCAAAATGTATTCTGCTACATGTCTTTGTAAAAAAAAATCCCAATAAGTGTATATTGATTGGTTTGTGTGAAAGTTATAGTGTCCAGAAATCTATAGTATATATATACAAGAATTGCATTTATTGTTTTATTTTTACTACTTACGGCTGATCAGTGTCTTATAGTGGGACTGCGATAGTGCGGTGGGCAATCTGACACTGGGGGAGAGGTACATTAACTGATGTTGACATCACCAGTGACACTAATTCAGTTATAATACTATACACTGTCACTGTACTAATGACACTGGCTGGGAAGGGGTTAACATATCATAATCGAGGGGTTAAGCATGTGCCTAACAAGTGTTAATGTGTGTATTATGTGCTGCTATTTACTACAAATCTCGTTCCTTTTCCCTGATTTTAAGGGAGAAGAAACAAAGAGATTGTTTCCTCTGTAAATTGTGATTGGACACAGCTGATCAGCAGGTCCCAGCCAGTGACCAGGACCTGCTGACAAACTTCCACCATGTACAATCACTGCGGGAGTTGGTGGGCCGGGGCATATGCACACACCCTGTACCTGGAAGAGGCCAGTGATGTACAGGTATATCACTATGCCTGAATGGGCTGCCTGCCTGCAGTACATTGCGAGTGGGCAGTCCTTAAGTGGTTAAAGTAGAATGCAAGGAAAACTTTTGTTTTCATTTTGGTTAGATTAAGAGAGGGTTATTATTGTAAAGGCAATGCATACTGGGACCCTCACAAAGTTGTGTGAAAGGGCAAGCATGCCAGGTTGTGCAGAATTCAGCCATGACAGTTTCTAACACAAGGAGACCTAATAGCAGCAGTGGTCCCCTTTTACATCTTCCCAGGCAGCCATCTGGTACAATACACAAACTGTTAACTGATGCCAGGACCTTCTTATCAGTCCATTGACTAGACACACAATATGCAATTCAGTCTAGGTACCCTGGTAAAACTGTCAAATTTCCAAGCTTGAGCAACCCGGAAAACAAAGATCTTGCCAGATCACCCCCATAGTAAATACCTCTGCTGGAGTTCGTAGAAATACACATTTCTGTCTCTTCCTCTTGGTAGAATCCATAATCCCAGTGTATTTATTAACTTCTGAAATAATAGACGTACAGCCAGAATAAGGACATATTTACCTCCCTCAGTTAATTAATAGAGTTTTGAGCCCAAACACCACTACCCTAGGAGTACCGGGAGCAGAACCGGCCCAATTCCTCTCCTAGGCAAACTGGGTATCTGAAACCTGTCATATTTATATTCATTCTGAGGGTACTTCAGTGGTGGACAATAATATATGCACGTTAGCAGACTGTAACATGTAGGTATTCATAGATATTAATATCTATAGAAAACTGTATCTGTGGTATGATCATAAACACAGAGACATCCCATGGCCACCCCTCATCCTCCTGATTGGTCAAGTCATTTTGTCAACACCCCATCAAGGTCCAGAAAAAGGTGACTGCAACCACAGTTGAGAGCACTCGTTTAGCATCAAACCAAGCAGGACTTGTGAGAGCAATTGTACCATCTAGTTTATTCACTGGATTCTGCATACCAGGGCCATGGAAACCCATTCAATTAACCTCTCAATGCACTGTTGTGCTAATCTGAAAGCCACACGAAGTTTGGAGGTCTTTAGTTAGTGACTCTGCAGACAGTTGGCGACTTCTGCGCACTGTGCGCTTCAGCATGAGCTGACCCCGCTGTCATTTTACATGGCCTACCACTTGTGACTGAGTTGCTGTTGTTCCCAGTTGCTTCCATTTTGCTATAATACCAATAACAGTTGACCGTGGAATATTTAGTAGCAAGGAAATTTCATGGATGGACTTATTGCACAGGTGGCAACGTATCACGGTACCACGCTTGAATCCACTGAGCTCCTGAGAGCGACCCATTGTTTCACAAATGTTTGTAGAAGCAGTCTGCATGCCTAGGTGCTTGATTTTATACCTGTGGCCATGGAGGTGATTGGAACACCTGAATCCAATGATTTGGAGGGGTGTCCCAATACTTTTGACAATATATTTGTGTGTGTGTATATATCTTTGTCTATGTATATACATACAGTGCTCAGCATAAATGAGAACACCCTAACAGATTTGTCAAAAAAACTTTCCTTTCCTTTAGAATCAACATTTTCTATAGGACACTATACTACAAAATACTCCCACAAAAGTGGGCCATTGATTGAAAGCAAGATTTTTTAAGTTGCACACACAAAAGAGTATTTTTCCTAACAAATTCATTCAAGACCAGGTTGCAATAATGAATACACCCCAATGAAAGTCTTAGGAGCAAAACTAAATTTTAGACAACAAAATCCTAAATAACAAGAATCCAACTGCAGGTGAGTCTAATTATTCAATAGACAGGTGTCCAGCCGACAGTCGATTATAAAAGGGCATTACTTAACAAAGAAAACCCCTTCCCATTTTATGCTGCCAGCAATGACACCACATGGAAGAGAAATGTCACAAGGCCTGAGAAAGAAAATAATTTCTTTACACAAGAAATGTGAAGGCTACAAGAAGATCAGCAAAGATTTTCTTATCAGTCAGAATACAGTAGCAAAAGCGATACAAAAATTTAACAAACGTTGAACTGCAACCATCTAACAGAGACGTCCAGACAGTCCACGGAAGTTGACACCTCAACAGGAATGACTTCTGATAAGGGTTGAAGAAAATTGCAGCGCAAGATCATTGTAGTTAGCTAATGAAATAGAAAGCCAAACTGGGGTGATTGTTTCCCGTGACACAACACGGCGTACACTGCAGAGGAATGGCATGCATGGGTGTCATGGGTGTCGTCCACCAAGGAAGCCTCTCCTTCCTTGGTGGACAAAAAGAAAAAGAAGAAGAGTACTGGGACTCTGTACTCTGAAGTGATGAGACCAAGATAAATGTTTTTGGAACTGAAGGCTTCAAAAACTGTATGGTGTCGCAAAGGTGAGGAGTACAAAGAGAAATAATGGTGTCTACAGTGAAATATGGTGATGGCAGTGTCCTTCTGTGGGGCTGTATGAGTGCTGCTGGTGTCGGGGATCTGCATTTCATTGATGGTATCATGAATTCACAGATTTACTGTTCTATATTGAAAGAGAAGGTGCTGCCATCACTCTGTACTCTTGGTCTTCATGCACTTTTCCAACATGACAATGATCTAAAACATATATCTAAGGTTACTGTTGCATTTCTGAAGAAGAATCGGGTAAAAGTGATTCAGTGGCCAAGTATGTCTCCTGATCTGAACCCAATCAAACACCTATGGGGAATTCTGAATAGATAAGTTGAGCATCACTCTCCATCCAGCATCCAGGCTCTAAAAGAGGTCATTGTTAAAGAATGGATAAAGATAGATGTTATATGTTGCCAATTTGTTAATTGCATGCCTAGAAGACTTGGTGCTGTCCTTACAAATGATACAAAATACTAGATGGAGTGGTTTTTGGTGTGGGGTGTATTCATTTGTGCATCAACTAATTTGAGTGAAACTGAAAATTTTGTAATCTAAGCTATATTATTAACCTTACTTTCATGTAATGAGCTAAACAAATGTTCTATAGAACTCAGTTTTCTCAAAATTTGGGAAATTGTTCTTGTGTTCATTGAGATATTGATTAAAATCTTACTTTTCAAAAAGGGGTGTACTAATTTATGCTGAACACTGTGTGCGTGTATGTATATATATTAAATTATTATATTATACTGTATAATAATAATATATTATACTACTCAAAAAATTAAAGGCATACTTTTCAATCAGAGTAAGTATAGCATGAAGTCAATTAAACTCCTGAGATATTGATCTGGTCAGTTAAGTATCAGAGGGGGTTGTCAGTTTCATCTGCTTTGATGTTAATGAAATTAACAACAGGTGCAATAAATGGGCAACAATGAGACAACCCCCAAAACAGGAACGGTTTTACAGGTGGAGGCCACTGACATTTTTTTCCCTACTCATCTTTTCTGACTTTTTCCCTAGTTTTTAATTTTACTAGGGTCAGTGTCACTACTGGTAGCATGAGGTGATACCTGGACCCTACAAAGGTTGCACAGGCAGTCCAACTCCTCCAGCAGGATAGCACATCAATACGTGCCATTGGCACAAGGTTTGCTGTGTCTCCCAGCACAGTCTCAAGCCCATGAAGGAGATTCCAGGAGACCGACAGCTACTCTAAGAGAGCTGAACAGGGCCGTAAAAGGCCCTAAACCCATCAGCAGGACTGATATCTGCTCCTTTGTGCAAGGAGGAACAGGATGAGCACAGAGCCCTACAAAATGACCTCCAGCAGGCCACTGGTGTGAATGTCTGACCAAGCAATAAGAAACAGACTTCATGAGGGTGGCCTGTGGGTCCAACATCCTCTACTGGGCCCCGTGCTCACTGTCTGGCATCATAGAGCTTGATTGGCATTTGCCATTAAACACCAGAATTGGCAGTTTACGCCACTGGCGCCCTATGCTTTTCACAGATGAGAGCAGGTTCACCCTGAGCACATGGAACAGACATGAAGGGGTCTGGAGAAGCCATGGAGAATGTTATGCTGCCTGTAACATCGTTCAGCATGACCGTTTTGGTGGTGGGTCAGTGTTGGTCAGGGGAGGCATATCTATGGAGGGACGCACAGACCTCTGCAGGCTAAACAATGGCACCCTGACTGCCATTAGGTATTGGGATGAAATCCTTGGACCCATTGTCAGACCCTACGCTGGTGCAGTGGTACTCGGGTTCCTATTGGTGCAAGGCAACGCCCGGCCTCATGTGGCGAGAGTATGCAGGAAGTTCCTGGAGGATGAAGGAATTGATAACATTGAATGGCCCCACGCTCACCTGACCTAAATCCAATAGAACGCCTCTGGGATACCATGTTTCGGTACATCCAACGCCACCAGGTTGCATCTCAGACTGTGCAGGAGCTCAATGATGCCCTGGTGCAGATCTGGGGGAGGAAATACCCAAGGATACCATCCAACATCTCATTAGGAGCATGTACGATGTTGTCAGGTATGCATACAAGCACATGGAGGCCATACAAACTACTAAGTACCATTTTGAGTTGCTGCAATCAAATTTCCTAGCCTGCTGCACAATTTTTTCACTTTGATTTTTGGGGTGTCTTTGAATTCAGTCCCCTGTAGGTTGATAATTTGAATTTCAATCAAACGATGGGGCATCCTTACGTTCCTAACACATTACCCAGTCCATATCAGTATAGGTATCCAGCACAATATTTTTACCCATTGAGATCTGATGCGTTTTCAAAGTGTTCCTTTAATTGTTTTGAGCAGTGTATGTGTGTATATATATATATATATTTATATTTTGTGTGTGTATTGCGTGTTATATATACTGTACTTCTGTGTTGTGCACTGCAATGTGTGAGTGCCAAGCACGCTCACACAGCTTGATGTTTAGAGTTATTCATTTATTTTAGCACGTTACGTTTCATAATTTTGGCAGCACAGCATTATTTTTTTTTTTTATTGATTTTGCCGAGGGTTTCTCCAAGGTAAAAAGGTTGAGAAAAGCTGTAGGCTGATATAGAGCAAAACAGTATGTGCATTTCATCAGGATGGCATGGTGGCAATGAAGCTGCAGCATGTGGTGAGACGCATCAAGGAATATTGTTCCAGCTGGTTTGAGCAGAGGCTGCAGACTTCACAACAGAATATAACCGTGTTATATTTTAAAATTGACAGTGAGTGAAAAAAAAATCCATTGGACAGTTTTCACTTTATCTGTTTCAGCAGCCATATTTGTGCGATAGCACAGTTATGGTTCTTTTGATTACAAATCTGATATATAGACACAAACTTGTTTATATGGCATGGGTGTCAGTAAATAAATAAAACGGTTAACTAATCGGTCTGTCCAGAAGGACAAAATGCAATATGAACCATCTGCACCTACTCAAAATGGCTGCAGCTAGAAATGCTTGTTGTTTTGTAAAGTGATTTCTCACCCAAAAAATCATTAGAAACATGGATGGATGGGAAAGTTTGTTTTAAAAATGTAAAAAGTAATTAAGTAGCATTTTCAGTTTGTGGTGATCAGATACAGTTTATTTCCGCTTTAAAGTGTAGATGTTGTCAGCAGATTATTTTGCAGATCTGCTGAATTAAGCCTAATACAGAAATAATATAACTACAAATAATAAAGCATGCCTTGCTAAATAAAATATTTAAACAGGTTTAATGTATTTTAGCACATTGAAAAATGATTTTAAATCAAATATTTTGAGCTTGCACTCTGTAACTCCTAAAAAGCGGAACTAAAGTTTATTTTTTATTAATGTAAACACTCTGAAATTGCATGTTATAAATAGTGTATGAATGCAGACTTGCAAATCTGTGTATTTCTTAAAGTTCCAGCTGCTGTGTGGGCATATCAGCAGGGCCTAGATTCTCTATGACCCTTGTGTCCTAACTGCAGTGCTGTGTTATTGTGAACTTCTTGGGGCCCGAATAGACAGTATTCTGTGTTATAGTGCTTACTCAGGCCCAGTAAAGAGTTAATTCTAGTAGTTAAATGGCTTAGTTTGTTTCTTTCAGTCTAGCTTTGCTTTTCTGTGCTGTCTATCCATTTTCTTTTGTTAAGGGGTTTTTATTTTGTTTTGGTTTTTTTACAATATATCATGCAAAATATCAGATTTGGCACAAATATTATTTAAAGCCATTGTAAACCTTAATTGTTTGCCCCTACAATATAAAAAATATGTTACATTTACTTGCTCCGTGCAGAGATTTAGCACACAGCGGCCCTTTATCTCCTCTTCTGGGGTCCCCTGTCAGCACTCTTCACTGCTCCTCTTTCAGAGCTGTGAAGGAAACCCCTTCGGCGGCCTCTTTCCACACCAGTAGTCCCAGACATCTGCCTCCAGGTAGAAGCACAAGCATTGTGGTACATTTCAGAAGAAGGGGAACCCATTCACCTCATGCCACAGCAATGGCAACCCATTGTAGGCCAGCCACACTAATGCTAACCAGAGCCCAAGATGGCACCAAGCTCCTTTTTCAACAAAGCAAAGTTTCAATAAAAA